CCCCCCCCCCCCCGAGAGAGAGAGAGAGAGGGAGAGGGAGAGGAGAGACAGCGAGAGAGAGAGAGAGGCGGATAGAGAGAGGGATTGTTATACATATACACACATATTTACACACATACAGATAACATACACACACACTTAGACATACAAACATAAATACATACATACATACATGCATCCATACATGCATGCATGCATGCATGCATGCATTCATACATACACACATACATACATATATGCCAGCGCCCCCAGCACGCCATATTCGACCCACTAGCGGGGGATGGGTGAAGGAAGGTTATCGTTGTTTGTTGTGGCTCGCTGTGAATGCTTTCTTTGTTTCGTTTTTCGTGATGTAGTTCTGTATACTTACCAATCGCTGTCTCACCATTCCACGCATGGCCTGCATGCGCTCATCGGCGACACACACACACACACGTCTACAGTATAGCATACCAACATGAACGTGGATGTTCAACATTGACGATGACTAAGAGGGTTCGCGTGGTGCTACACATTTTTCTTGTAAGGTTGCAAGGAGTGTTCAGTGTCGTTGCGTTGCAGGGTAAACACATACGGAACGCGCAGAATTACTACCTATAGCACGTGCGCGAAGCCTGCAGAAACCACATTTCTAGCAGGCGTACTTCATCTTGAACTCATAACCGAACATCTCGCTTGTCGCCGCCCACCAATCACATCCGCGGTTCCAATAACACCATTGTGCATAACGGATTATGTTTCGCAAAATCTGGCTGTTAACAATTTTCTGGGTCCCTACGTGTTCTCGCACCTCGCGCCAACAACGGTCGATGATTTCTTTCCCGCTTTTCACCCACACCCTTGTTTTCTTGAGTTTTCCATTGTCAGAAGGCATCGGGACGTCGTGGTATCGCACCTTCGAGAACAACGGTTTGATCCAAGTGAACTTGCCATTGACTGTTGCCTTCTTTTTCATGTGCACAACCCAATCGTGCATCATCCCTCGAGCTTTCAGTTTGTAGGATCTGGCGCCATCTGCGTGGAGAATGACGGAGCGGTCCTTGAGCCACTTAGTCGCCAGTGGGCACCAATCGCGTTTCCTGATTGGGCTTGGGCCTGGCGCGCGCCGCTTTGTCTTTTCTGGTTTCAACTTAAACAGTACAAGCGAGCGCGGATTACCCCGTTGGACAATCCCACCCCATTGATCCCAGATTGTGGGGCGATCTGAACGAGGCTTTGCGAGGGGATCTTCTCCTTTTGCGAGGTCGACTTCGTCTGCCTCCACATCGGCCCAGCCATCTGACATGCCAAATTTGATGGTCTTTCCTGTAGCTATTTCATATTGGGCCCGAGGGGCGTAAGGATTTGCGCACATGCTCTCAATGAGCTTGTGATTATGTCCAAGGAGCTTGCGCGCTCGGTTCTGGGCGCGCCCGCGGGCGGCACAGAAAAGGATGGGCGCCTGGACAGCCGCTCTCGTATGGGAGGCCCCCGTAGCCGCGCGAAACACAGTGTGAAAATAATGAGTCAGCACGTGGCGGCGGCAGCCGTGCTTCCCGCACCTATAGCTCCAACCGCCCGTCTTCGGTCCGAAACCTTGGAGCGGCCCCGGCGCGCCCGCGTTGCAACAGGGACATGTTATCCCCTTCCACTCTGACAGAATGCGGTCTTCCGTATGCTTCAACAGAACGTTCTTGATTGGCGGATTGGCGAAGTCCTTGAGAGACGTTGTCCAGTGAGATCGATCTGGCCTTGATATCGACGCGGGGGTTCCATGTCTCACGTATCGGACGCTCTCTGGCTTCTTATGTCGGTTCGCCGCTGTCCCCTTTGTCTACGTCTTCTTTCGAATGGGGCGCGTCTCCTGCCGCGTCTTCCTCTTTTTGCGTCGCGGGCCAATTCCCGCGTCTCTTGTCGGCAGGTTCGCCGCCGCGCAGGCGGTCGCCCTCATTGCCGCGCAAGGGCGCGCGCGAAGTTGAGGTAACCTGTGACACCTCGAAGACAGTCTGCATCCCAGACACTGCGTCAGCGATTATCTTCTCCGCCTCTTGCGCTGCGATCAGCAGCTCTGCGCCCCCGCTGCGGAAGCTGGCGACGGCGCGTTCGCCCGCGCGCAACTCGCGCGCATGGCCGCGCCTAGGGCGGCAGCTGCCGAGCGGCTTTCGCCAGGAGGAATACGGGCGATTATAACCAATGCTCATGAACAAGACCGTGCGAGGCAAGGGCGCAAGGACCTTGGAATGCCGCGCGGGCGGTTTTCGAAAATTCAACGCGTAAGGGCGCGCGGCAAAACTTGTAGATGCAAGGGTGCCTTTGGGACCTTGCCCATCATTCCTACGCGCGTTGCCTGCGAGCTCCCCTTGAAATCTTCTGCGCCGAATGAGGCCGCGAAATACGCATGATGGCGGATTAAGCCGCATAGGGCGGGAACGCAAAAAAATGCGATTGAACCGGATTTGGAGCCAATGCGACATCGAAAAATCATCCCTCAGGAGTTGCGCCCGAACGTTCCCGTCGTCAACCGCGAAGCGCCCGCCGCCGCGCACGCGCGACGGCAGGGCGCGGTTTACAGAGAAACCGAGCGGGTGGCGCATGTCATTGCCATCCTGGGGATATCACGCAGGCGCGCCGCCGCGCGAACAGCGGCGCCCTGGGCGCCGCAAGCGCGCCCGAAAAATCCAGGGACGCCCGCGGCGAGCCATGGCGCCACTGCGAGCCCGACGAGGCGTCTGCGTAAGAGCTCTGTCCTGGACCACCCACAGCGGCCCGCTCCGCCCGCAGGATACCGCAAACCAGTGTCACGGAGTGCTTCGGCGGCGCAAGCGTTTCTGAGTTCAACGTTGCGGCCGCGGGAGCAGCGGGCCGACTGCTCTGACGCCAACGAGAGCTCTTGGTCTACGAGGATGCCGAGCATCTTGCGGTCACTGCTGCAACGCGCCCTCTTCGACTGCTGGTTGCCCAGGGCAGGGCTGTCCAGGGGCGGGCAGGCAAATGTGGTTTATCGGGCGCGTACAATAACATCGCACACCTCTGCTTCTGCGCCGAACGGACTGCGGCCTTCCAAATCGCACGCTGGGCTCTCCATTTCAGGATGGGGCCTCGCGCCGGCATCGGTGACAGCGAAGAGCGCGACGCGCATCCGCGAAGCAGCCGATGGGAAATTGCTGGTGGACGCGCGGATGATACTGCCGAGCGCCGAATCCAAAATGCAGAGCTGCCCCTCGCGCACCCCGACGGCCATGAAATGTCCGAAGGGATCCCCGCATGGCTGTCAACACACCAGTTACGAGCTCGCCTGGGTGATGGCGCGAATCGTGCAACGACGCTTCTTGAAGCCGCAGCATCTGATCTTCACGTTGCGACCCGTGGTCCCAATGCTCGTCGCACTGATGAACGGCGCGAGGCCCGTCGCACGGCGGCCACGCCTGCGGAGAGTGATGCTTCAAGCGTTGCACAGAATTGTATAGACATGCGCCAAACACATCAGGTGCGACGCGAGGCGGTAGCTCCGCGCCGCGCGCTGCGCCACCTGAGGCCAGAAGCAAGTCTCCGAGCAGCGGGTGCACTGGCGATGCCTTGGCCACAGTGAGCTTCATCCCGCAGGTCTCCTGGGGGTCGCCGAAGACTTCATCTATGCCGAATCCAGGTGCACCTGTTGATATAATGGGTTCATCGAAGGTGCAGCACGCGACGTTCCAATTCTGCTGGCCACTGCACTGGCGCATGACCTCCATCACTTCGTCCTCGCGCGCCGACAGGGCACATGACAATCTGGTTGCGGCTGGCCTTCGCCGCGTGCCAAACTTGCGACGAAGATGCTGAGAGCCGCCAGGCCTTGGGACGATGTCCTTGGCCTGCGCCACGTCGGCGGCGAGCGACCACAAAAACGGAGTGATGTTCACGGGCTTGCCGAAGCCGAAGATGCTTGAAATCATTGTCTTAGCTTCTGAGAGGTCAACCCAGAGATAGTCGCTGGCGAATGCCCTCCAGACGTCGCAATGCTGAACAAACCTGTCCTATGAACGCAATGACGCTGCATCTCTTGCATGTAATTGCCTCACCTCTCTCAGAAGGAGCGCGGGGAAGTTGTTGTTGTTGTCGATGATGTAGCTCGAGCCAGTCAGCGCAACAGACCGCGACTCTTTTTTGAGCCATTGCAGCGCAGGGCCGCGCGCGCACATTCTGCCGGGGAGCCCATGCTTCCGATAGCGCATCACGTGTAGACCGGGGAGACGAAAAAGAACCAATACCGCTACTCCCTGGAACTACCCTTGGGCGTGTTCTGACCAGAATTCCGAGGCGAATCCAGCCGCGGCGACGATGGTTGTCCAGGACTTGCAACGGTATCGGTCTAGTTCCCTCTGTTGGCTTCCTTCATGCACCGTTCGATGTACTTGCTCAGCATTTCTGGCCCGCGGTCGTGGCCAGCCAATGCGTGAGCTTGCAGCGCAGCAATGTTCACCCGCTCCGTCAGCGCGCATGCGCCCGCGTCGTCCCCGTGATAATTGAAAGCAGCAGTGTCGCTGCCATTGCCATTGAAATCGGCGAACGTGTCGTCGGTGGTCTCGGCGTTGACGAAGGTGTATTTGATGGTCACGGCGATGGCCCAAAGAGAACCCCACTCGCCCCATGTGCCGAAATTCTTAGGCCCACGAGTCTGCAAGAGCTGCTCGAAGCGTTCGATGTTGAGGTCGAGTCTGGTATAACTACCACCTCCGATCGGGTTCAACAAGTGAGACCAAACACCCACTGCGTCTGCTAATGTTGAATGTTTGGGCTTCTTCCCTTTCGTGCTCGTCTTCGTGCCTACGCCAGGTATTGTCGCCATCCGACTGATTGGAGCAGACCCGATTCGCGTTGCCCCAGCAGTAGCCGCGTGCATTGTGCGGATAAATTTATATTCGGCAGTGGGGCCAGCGGGCGGTCTGCTGCCATTCGGCTGGTTGCCTGGCACGTAGCCCCAGGGCACGGCATCGGCAACGGATCTTGTAAACCACCGTTTGCCATTCGTTTGACGAAGGCGACGGTGTCTGCCTTGACGCGGTCGTTGACGTTGATCAGGGTTGTCAACATGGCCTTCCTGGAATACTTCATCCGCCGCGGCAGCATGGAGTAGCGCACGTAGGCGTATCGAGCTTCCTGGGTTTCGAGGAAATGTTCAAGCGATGGGCCCTCCAGAAAGCATCTGCTCGCCACGTCGACGTTGTTCTCGTCTGGCGTGAACTGGCTCTCCAGTTTGAGAACAATGAACCTCCGCGCCCATGATCTCAAGGAGTTGACGTCACTGGGGTCGCCCACAATAGACGGCAACGCAGGGTTGAGCTCCCAGTATATGGCGCAACACCCCCATGACAAATACAATGCTTCCGTCCTAAAGTTGGACCTGCAGGGTAACGTAGCACCGCTGATGCAGTTCTTCACCACGCTCTCCTGCAATGGCTTGCCAGCTGTGCGTTCAGACATGATTAGACATCGAAGCTCCTCCTCCACCTGGAAGCTGGTGGACCCCATGTACGAGCAACTCGCGCCGAAGACGCTGGCGCGTTATTTGGACTTTGCCGACTTCCCATTCCCCCCATCGGATAACAAGATTATCATCTTGCGTGGGAGAGCACAGCCGCCCACCGCCAGGACCTCCATGTTCTCGCCTATCTCACCTGCGTCGGGCCGCCCTGCGTAGGTCGTGCACAGAACTCTCCGCCAACGCTCCAGCGTATCGTCGGAGGGCTTCCGATCCAGCTGGACAGGGAGATGCGTGTAGCACTTGTTGGCGATGCCCTTCTGAATTTTCTGTATTGGGCCGTCCTGCCGCCGAGTCGTAGCGTCTTCGAAGTTGGCGATGGCGCTCGCATCTGGGAGGTCTTGGACGAACCACTTCCCGAACAACTCCAGAATATCCTGGGCGTTGTTTCTGTTCGTTAAGCGCGTGTAGCTTGGAGAGCGACATGCTAGCTTGGGGCCACCACTGCGCGCGCGGATGTTCGGGGAGATTATTCTTGAAATCGCTCCGGAGCGGCTGCGAAGAATTGTCGAAATTGATTTCCCGCAAAAATTAAAAGACTGCGTCCCAATCGCGTCCGACATCGGCTTGCACCATCAAAGCATAGGACATCCTCTGCGCTCGCACCAGCGATGCTCCCAATAATCTGTTTACCGCCTCTGATAATTCTGTGATGTGCGTCATTGCTCCGTTCTCATACATGTATACAGCGACTGGGTGAGCGCATTTAGTTCCGCTCATCAGAGTCCCAATCAGGCGTGCAGCGATGAGATCGCTATTCGGGCCCCACTCGATGTCCATGGTAGCGTGCAACGCGATAACCAAGAAAGATTGGTGAGATACGGTGTCTGGGACGTAATTCCAGTTTGCCACCTCTGTAAGAAATCGTTTCGTTAATGCGGTTGTCAGATTGAGCATTGAGGGAGGTCGCGAATCCTCTTCTGGCCCAAACGTCAGTCTTGAACCGTCCTCGACGAACTGCTCGTAATCCTCCGGCTCCCACATGTCCACTGGCTGTTCCTCCTTCCGACGCCTCTTCGAATTCGGGGCGCCCGATGCCAGAACGCGCGCGGCGCTCGCGCTAGCCGCGCGCGGGGGCGCCCGCAGGTTTCCCCTTTGCGGAACGCGCGCCGCTGACCTTGCTGGGTCATCGAGCTTGGGAACATCGGAAGCGTCAACGAACTGCCAGTGCAAGTTCCAGGGCATCCCCGACTGGGCGGCGTGCGAGTGCGGCATCTGGTACGCGCCAGACACAATATTCCATGATTCCACAACGCCACCTGCACCCAAACGGATCTCTCCCGCAAAGGCGACAGCTTCCTCGCACGCCAGCCCAGCATGGCCAGCAGCTCGACCCATTGGCGGCGGAGACGTAAGACGGGCTCTGAAACATTGCTCGCCGAAGCACTTTACGACGGCATACGAACCAGGTTCAAAGTTGACCGCCCCGGCCATGTGCCCTCCGACGTCTCTCCAATGAAAAGTACTGCCTTCTGGTATCGGAGGCGGGATGTAGGCCGTGGCGTTGGTCACGCGGACGACGTCTGCGGCGGTGCTGATATGGAGTTGGGCAACAGGTGCCAGCGCCGCGGGGTCCGCCTCCATTCGCCCCTGCCTGTCTCATGCCAGCATCCAAGACGGGCGCCGCCCGCCACTCAGGAACGGGATCTCGTCGGTGGCGGTGAAGGCGAAAACGGACACACCTGGGTCTTCGATGCACGACTTAATTTGCTTCGGGTCAATAAATCGCTTGGCCCCGCAGTCCATCCGCAGGTGGGCCTCCCCGCCAAATTGCACCCAGACCTTGAAGAAATGGTTGTGTTGGTGCACAATGTAACAGCTGTCTGACAGCAACGCATGTCTCGGGACTGGCGCTGCTGCGTGTTCCAGTGGCCGAAGCATTGCGTTGCCGCCCCGAAGAATCCAAAAGGGGCCGTTGCGCGTAGCCACAATTGGCATGCCATAGTTTTGAAAAAAAAAAAAAAAAAAAAAAAAAAAAAAAAAAAAAAAAAAAAAAAAAAAAACAACGAATATGACAGATATCCGCAAAGCCCCAATTACCAGATGTTGCGATATTTTGGCGCAGCGGGCTTTGAGCCCCGCCTGAACGATTCCCGCTGTCGTAAGCGATCGGGTTCTCATCGCCAGGCTCGACATGGCGATCGTACAATTCCGATTCACGGTGCGAGCTGGCCTCCTCCTGGAAGAAGGCGTCGACCCACCCGCCTGGCGCGTCCAGCAAGCTGCCCCACGCGAAGGGCATCTGCAACAGGCAACCTGGCGAGGGTGTCTGCGAGCGGAAGAATGACGCCAAGTCGGATCTCTCTCTCTCTCTCTCTCTCTCTCTCTCTCTCTCTATATATATACATAAACATGTGTATATATACATATATACATATATATATATATATATAGTAGGGCAGGTGTGCGACGCCTTGCGCGTCATATTGCAACGCAGCCGCCATCTGAACATTGGTGTCATGATGCATGTCGTGCGCAGCCAAAGCCTGCAAATATTCGTGGAGGTCGTTGATCTCTTCGAGGCATTCGCCTGTTGCAATCAATTGAGCTAACAGTTGAACCATTTCATGTTCGTCGGGGTCTTCTTTGAGCTCCGTCTGAATGGGGGTCGCGGCAAATTGAAACACCGCGAACGAGACCGAACGGCGCCCGAACCGAACACTAGCAAACTCTCGAACATGTTCGAAGGCGACAACAAAACGCCATGCCATGTCCCCATTCAGACGGAGCTGATCCTTCAGCGCTAAATGCGTCGCCGGACTCGTCGGGGTTGTTGCGGGGAGAAACTGATGGAGTCCTCCTGCGGCTCACAACTTCCGTATTGAAAATCTTCACGGCCGCATCGCCGAGTACTAAACCAATGATGAACATCGCATAAGCAAGCCGCTTCATCGCGTAAGTCGTCTTCTTTCCTTTCCACAGCAGGCCACAAGCGAGGAACGCGTATGCCGTTTGCAGGAACGCCACGTATATACACAAATTGAATAGAACCTCTGTTGAAATACTCCCAGGCACTCGGGAAAGCGGTAATCCATGCCCTGAACATACTCGACAACGCCACTGAACCTGACGCACGCCGCGTTCTCGAACCGCCCGCAGGCAGATCGTAGCCGTGCTTGCCATCGGCACCGTCGCGAGTAAATAGACGCGCCGACGTTTGCTGCCACGGCGGCTGACCATTCGAGTCAGCAGACGGCATGTCTTCATTATCGCGGCGGAAGTCATTTGCGTTGGGGGACGGAGGGGCCGCTGGCTCGGCGTCTTTGCCGTCCTGCGCTGCGTGGAAGAGATGTTTTGTTTGTTTTCACCGCCTTCGCATGCTGGCCACATATGCATGAAGTCTTGGTCAGCGGGCGGGCTCGTCACGCACGGCGTCGCACCAGCAATGCTTTCGCCGAGTGCGCATAGCCCATGACCCTGAGGCCCCGGGTTCCAAATGCATAGAAGTGGCAAGCAATTATGCGCGCCGCCGCTGGCGCCATGGTTTGACATGAACAATGCAATGCTACCTGGCGCACAGAGAGAAACATAAGCCACCTTGCGCAAGAACGCGGCCTTGGAAGCCCATAGCTCCCAAGTGCTCGCATAAGCCATGAGGCAATCTATATATATATATATGCGATTGCAGCGAGAACGAGGCTGAGAAATTTGGATCCCAACCGCACACTGAGATGCACATTGCGAAGAGCAATAACATTACTCCGTTGAGCATCGTCTTCGCGCTGTCTGGGTGGATTTTGCCCACGTTGCACATGTGCTTCTTCAGCGGGGGCAAGCTCCACGTTGCCGCGAACCCACGCAGGAAGCACAGCTGAACCAGAAGGGGCAACATGATCGAATGTTTGGAATCAAGCGCGCGGCATGGTCAGAGAAATAAGCACGCGGCCAGGACACGTTCAACCTTGAGCCAACAAGTCGGACATGCAGTGCACGCGAGGCATGATATCAACCGCACAATGAATAGCAGAACGACGAAATTCTCACATACTCGTGCCCTCTCTGCTGCGTCCCATATTGAGCCTCTTGCTGGGTTTCCTCCTGGGCTCCTTCCTGAGCCCCCATTCCGGGCTCCTTGATGCGTCTCTTTGTAAACCATTGTCCCGAAGTCCGTGGTGGGCTCAGTCCTGGGCGTCCATTGCAGGGCCCCCTGCTGCGTCCCTTGATGGGTGCATTCCTGCGCCCCTTGCTTTGACCCCTTTCCCGAGTCCAGCGCCCCTCGCAGGGTTCCTTGTTGGGCCCCTCGCTGGGCCCCTCGTTGGTGTTCGCCGCTTTCGCGCAAGAACCGCGCATGGCGCACCGACGAAAGCAATGCAATGATGATAATCATGTGTTATCATAAGGTTTGCGCTTTGTTTTACGTATTTGGGTTCGCCGCCTGGTCTCTGAATTCAAAATATGCGCGCGCCACGTTTTCTCTGACCGCAAATTGTGCGTTTGGTTGGTAGAACAGAACAAACGCAGCGACGAAAGCAGCAGAGCGTTGCCAATCCATGTTTAGCATGCGGCCTATACCTTGGTTTTAATATTTTGAGCTCGCCGATTGGTTTCTGAAATCAAAATATGCGCGGGCCATGTTTGATCGAACCGCAGATGGTGCGTATTGTTGGCAGAACATACCAAACGCAGCGGCGAAGGCAGGCGAAGGTTGATACTACATGTTGATCATGCGGTCTGTATATTGGTTTAATAATGTAAGTTCGCCAATTGGTTTCTGGAGCCAACATATGCGCAGGTCATGTTTGGTCGAACCGCAGATGGTGCGTATTGTTGGCAGAACATACCAAACGCAGCGACGAAGGCTGACGAAGGTCGGCAATCAATTGTTATCTTAAGGTTGGCCTCTTGGGTTAATAGGTTGGGGTCGCCGCCTTGTTTCTCAACGCCAGCGCAACAACTACCCGAGTCGAATGGCACAACCCCTGCATCGACATCGCAACCCCCCAGGACGGTTACAGAACTATTACAAGACTTCCTATGCTGGTTACATCGCCCACGGGCTCGCCTGGTGGGCGTTTTTGCAAGGAGGCTCGAATTCAGTTTGCCGCGTTTGCTTACGGTGCGCACATTCCAGCACAGCCCCGCGCCGCACCACGGCAGGCGCCTGGGAGGTTTCTGCCCCCATTGGCAAATTATCTTGAACAACTTGGGAGACACGCGGTCTGCGAACGTGGCCATCGGCCGCCCGTGCTTGTGGACGAACGGGTCATGCTCGCCCTCTATGTTGTTTTTCTGTCGCTCGGTGTCGTTGCGTTCCTTTGTTTGACCGCGTGGTATGCCATCTTGTACCAATTGCCCCAATCCAGGAACTCCGTGTTTTTTCTTCCAGTTGGGCGATGCGAGTATCTTTTCTGCGCGCGGCTGCTTCCATCTGCTTGAT